GGGGGGGGGGGGGGGGGGGGGGGGGGGGGGGGGGGGGGGGGGGGGGGGGCTTAAATTTCTGAAAATCCACCAGCTTAAAATAACTGTAGTTTCTCAGTGTTTTGGTAGTATATTTAGAAAGAGATTTTCTTGTCATTTGCTGTAGACTTGTATTCCGCTAGCAAGAGATGTTAACCCTTAGAAATAAGTACACTTTCCGAAATTTGAGTGTACTGAATGTTTCCGCTGGCCCGGTTTGTACTTTGTTGCCTACAGCTTTAGTATTCACGTTCCATCTGAATTGTAAATATCATCCCTGGGGATTAATTAATGATATGCAAATGAGTATATATAATAGGAAACACTGGCACGCATTGTCCCATTCACTTCGTCCGACACGAAGGTGATTGGCGACCCACCCGCCCTACCCAGCGAGTAAGTCGGGTTCCAGATTCAGTCTGTCTTGGGCTTGTCCCAGGTCAGATTGATTCCCCTTACCTTATTATAATACCATGAATAACAATACCCAGGGATGAATATTATACTATTTTTCAATGGAAAGTGAGGGTCTCCCAGGGGGGGTCCTTGGTCCCTTCCAAAATTGCCCTATGTTCCCATGTTCCCACACGTTTTCCTTATTTGTTCCCCTCTTAATAAATTTGCTTACCACTTATTACCGCCCTCAATTTCCTCCCGCCAAAAAAAAGACACCAAAAACAAAACTTCAATTTGAGTGACATCATCTCAAGCATTTGAGTGAAATTCACAATCCATCAGAGTGGGATGAGCATTAGAACTAACCTTAACTCTCCTGGTCAATTATCATAACACATAAACTCGTCAAAATTTGCCCTCTTCCTTGGTCGTCTTGATCCTCTGAATGTGGTATTTGTTAGTTCTTGGTCTTCCCCTACACATTCCCTGGCTTCTTCTATGGTGACCGATTCTACATGACGGATCATGTGAGACTGATAATGTATAAATTCGTTCTCTGTCATTTCAACAATTTTGTCATTAACGAAGCCTTCTTTCAAAGAATTGCATATGTCCTTAACAATCGTCAGCACCTTTACTTTCTTAGACTTCCGATAGATATTTCTAACAGATTATTTAATTCGCAGTATCTCCCAATTCTGATGTATGGCTCTGAGGTTTGGAGCATCTACGATAAAGATGATTATAATTCATTGGGAAATGATATAATAGAGAAAACACAAATGCAATTCGGTAAACAAGTTCTAGGTGTGAATAAGCAGTGTCCAAATGTTGCATGCAGAAATGAACTTGGACGACTACCACTGAAGGAAATAACTAACATAAATATTATCAAATTTTGGATACAGTTAGAAAACAAAAAAGATGATCATTATGACAAGCATTGTTTAAAAATACCAAAAGATATGGTTGAGAAAACCATATGAATATTTTGAAAAAACTTAATACCCTATGCAACAATTGAAATCTCAATGAACTGTATTTAAATGATAACAACTCCTCAACATATGTAAAGAATATTCAATTAACTAAACGTGAAGAACTGAGTTCACACCAATATAATCTAATAAGAAATATCACGAAACTAAAATTCTACTCAATATTCAAAAATGACTGTCACAAAAGTGATTGCTTGAACATAATCACCAATATAAATCACAAAAAAATACTGAACAAATTGAGACTTGGCAACCATCGCTTACAAATTGAAACGGGCAAACATACAGTACCGAAAACTCCAGAAAATCTTCGAATTTGCCCCTTCTGTCACTTAAATGAAGTTGAAAAGGAATTACACTTTTTATTCAATTGTAATCTTACGACAGTCTTCGATCTAACTTTACAGAAACATTGGTAACAGATACCTTCTTTTTAATAATTTTGACAACAATGAAAAAACCCTCTTCATATTTAACAATGTCGAGCTATGTCGATTCTCATATCTACAGACTTACAGCTGCTTACATACATTCATGTATGGAATATAGACAAAAACTTGTTCTTTAATTATAGCCCTTATTTTGATTTAAGATTTACAACATAAATAATGTAGGTAATACCATGTACTCACGGGGGAATACTGAAATAAAGTTGTTGATTTCCCTTTCCGCCTCTTCTGTGAAAGTTAAGGGATTGAGCACATCGGCATCAAAGCACATTGCCCTCGATTTTTTGGTAGCAGTGGTTACATCTTGCTGCAATACATACAATTTCGGCATTAGCAAGATAAAGCATCTGAGGCAAGATAGACAATGTCACCAGACGACTGGACAAGATCACTTCAGGGCCTTCTTTCGTCCCCTCTCCCTTCTTACAATAACTAATGTTTCTGTCCTTTCTCCTTGGACCTCTCCATCCTTACCGAAATCAAATGGCTGACTTGTAGGCTGCTCTGTTAAATAGAGATTTATCGGCAGAGTACCTGGGTTGTCTTTTATACTCATGTTCCTTACTGTTTTTTGTGCAACACTTTGACCATGCTTTATTCGCCAGTCTCTCATTTGCTGCACTTGGGACTTGGTTAACCGTGCTGATGAGGGCGGGGACATCTCAGGTAGTTCTGACCAGTTCTGAATACCTTAAATCAGATTTTACTCTTGGGTAATGAGACTTGGCATTTGTGTAGTAGCAGAATTTTGTTCTAAACATTTGTTTTAAGTGTTCCTTTAGGGCCCTGCTATCGAAAGTCAAACTGGAGCTGCAATGGCATATCGTATGATCAGCTCTCATCTCTGAGAAGAAGTTTTGGCAAATCAGTGTCAAAAGACTCTTCATTTTGAACACCTCAAGAAGCTGTGGCCCAACAATAAGATGATCATGGTTAATGAATGATCGTTAATAAAAAGTTTATTCTAGCGTTAAACATGTTGAATATATTCCCCAGATTTGCCAGATTTGGGAAATCTACCTTTTAACTCCCACTACTTCGTTATCACTTTGGTAATCGCTGCATTCAACTGTTGTTAGGAATCAATCTCAAATACTCTGCCCTTTAGACAGTTCGCTGTGACTTGAAAGTCTTTCACACTAATCGTCACTCTGAATCTCGCTATGTTTAGCTGGCTACACCGATCTGCGATTCCAAATCCTTATCTAACTCGAAAAATGAAATCAAACAACATCTTGTCACTTTCGCCCCCGATTCCCATTTCAAAGGACCAACGTATTGCTGGTTTTTCTTCGTCATTTCTATTAATCGCAGCAGTGACAGACAGTACAACACGATCGACAAACGATCGAATTGTTTGCGTCGTCTAATTTATACAGTTATGTTTCCCTGTTCCCTAAAAAAAAGCTCATGTTCCCTTGTTCCCTTCGATATTTTGCCAATGTTCGCTTGTCCCCCCAAACCCCTGGGAGACCCTCAAAGGTAGATAAGTGTACAATGAGTACATAGATAACTTATATATACCATGTTTAAACAATGGTAAATCTGTTTATCGTTTTTAATTTCGATCATTCTTACCAAAAAGAATATCTTTTCCTTTTTTTTCAAGAACACCCCAAACCATCAAGTCATATTACACAACGCCAAAAAACACGTAGAAGGCTCACTATTTGTGGCAAACCAAATGCAACTGCGATAGAAAAAATCAAATAATACCGGAGCGAATTAAGCTTTTATGCTAGGTTTTAATTCTACTCTTAGTCTCCGTTATCGTACGTTGCCGCACATAAAGGGAAATATAGTATCAACGAAAAAATGAAATCACAACATATCTCGTATACTTTTTTGCAGAAGAGCTGAAATAGCAAAGCCAGCAAAAAATGACACAGCCAAAACTATCTTCTTGAAAAGCGGTAGATCTTATCTGCTTTTTTTTTTATTGGAATGGCTGAGAAAGGACAAACAGAGGCGAATTGTAATCTTGAAAACACCAACGGGATTGGCAATAAGGTTGGAAAAAGGAGAGAGGAAGCAAAAAGGAATAGTCATATTAGCGACGCCAAAGATTTCCAGAACGCTATAGGCCGCCATGAACAAGACCTCAAAATATCAAGAGAAGTGACAGATGGGGCAACAGAACGAAGAGCCTACTTTAATCTTGGCAGCGCCAATTACAGTCTTGGAGATTTCCGGAAAGCCATAGAGTACCATGAACGAGACCTCAAAATTTCGAAAGAAGTGGGAGACAGGGCAAGAGAAGGAAAAGCGTATTGTAATCTTGGCAACGCCTATTACAGTCTTGGAGATTTCAAGAGAGCCATAGAATACCATGAACGAGACCTCAAAATTTCGAAAGAAGTGGGAGACAGGGCAGGAGAAGGAAGAGCGTACGGTAATCTTGGAGATTTTAAGAAAGCCATAGAGTACCATGTACGATACCTCAAAATTTCGAAAGAAGTGGGAGACAGGGCAGGAGAAGGAAAGGCATACTGTTATCTTGGCAACGCCTTTCGAAATCTTGGAGATTTTCAGAAAGCCATAGAGTACCATGAACAATACCTCAAAATTTCGAAAGAAGTGGGAGACAGGGCGGGAGAAGGAAAAGCGTACGGTAATCTTGGCAACGCCTATGACAGTCTTGGAGATTTCCAGAGGGCCATAGAGTACCAAGAACGAGACCTCAAAATTTCGAAAGAAGTGGGAGACAGGGCAGGAGAAGGAAGAGCGTACGGTAATCTTGGCAACGCCTTTAGAAATCTTGGAGATTTCCAGAGAGCCATAGAGTACCATGTACGAGACCTCAAAATTTCGAAAGAAGTGGGAGACAGGGCAGGAGAAGGAAAGGCGTACTGTAATCTTGGCAACGCCTATGACAGTCTTGGAGATTTTCTGAAAGCCATAGAGTACCATGAACGATACCTTAAAATTTCGAAAGAAGTGGGAGACAGGGCAGGAGAAGGAAAGGCCTACGGTAATCTTGGCAACGCATATGACAGTCTTGGAGATTTCCAGAGAGCCATAGAGTACCATGAACGACACCTCAAAATTTCGAAAGAAGTGGGAGACAGGGCAGGAGAAGGAAGAGCGTACGGTAATCTTGGCAACGCCTATGACAGTCTTGGAGATTTCCAGAGAGCCATAGAGTACCATGAACGACACCTCAGCATTTCGAAAGAAGTGAGAGACAGGGCAGGAGAAGGAAAAGCGTACTGTAATCTTGGCAACGCCTATCACAGTCTTGGAGATTTCCAGAGAGCCATAGAGTACCATGAACGCGACCTCAAAATTTCTAAAGAAGTGGGAGACAGGGCAGGAGAAGGAAGAGCGTACGGTAATCTTGGCAACGCCTTTAGAAATCTTGGAGATTTTCAGAAAGCCATAGAGTACCATGAACGACACCTCAAAATTTCGAGAGAAGTAAGAGACAGGGCAGGAGAAGGAAGAGCGTACTGTAATCTTGGCAACGCCTTTAGAAATCTTGGAGATTTTCAGAAAGCCATAGAGTACCATGAACGACACCTCAAAATTTCGAGAGAAGTGGGAGAAAGGGCAGGACAAGGAAGAGCGTACTGTAATCTTGGCAACGCCTATCACAGTCTTGGAGATTTCCAGAGAGGCATAGAGTACCATGAACGAGACCTCAAAATTTTGAAAGAAGTGGGAGACAGGGCAGGAGAAGGAAGAGCATACGGTAATCTTGGCAACGCCTTTAACAGTCTTGGAGATTTCCAGAGAGCCATAGAGTACCATGAACGAGACCTCAAAATTTCGAAAGAAGTGGGAGACAGGACAGGAGATGGAAGATCGTACGGTAATCTTGGCAACGCCTATCACAGTCTTGGAGATTTTCAGAGAGCCATAGAGTACCATGAACGATACCTCAAAATTTCGAAAGAAGTGGGAGACAGGGCTGGAGAAGGAAAAGCGTACTGTAATCTTGGCATCGCCTATCACAATCTTGGAGATTTCCAGAGAGCCATAGAGTATCATGAACGATACCTCAAAATTTCGAAAGAAGTGGAAGACAGGGCAGGAGAAGGAAGAGCGTACTGTAATCTTGGCAACGCCTATGACAGTCTTGGAGATTTCCAGAGAGCCATAGAGTACCATGAACGATACCTCAAAATTTCGAAAGAAGTGGGAGACAGGGCAGGAGAAGGAAAAGCGTACTGTAATCTTGGCAACTTCTATGGCCGTCTTGGAGATTTTCAGAAAGCCATAGAGTACCATGAACGAGACCTCAAAATTTCGAAAGAAGTGGGAGACAGGGCAGAAGAAGGAAGAGCGTACTGTAATCTTGGCAACGCCTTTCAAAATCTTGGAGATTTCCAGAAAGCCATAGAGTATTATAAGAAGAGTGTTACAGCCTTCGACCACATCAGGGGAAATCTCATATCTAATGACGAATGGAAGATAAGCCTAGCGAATACGTATGATCATATTAATTTGAGTCTATGGGGGCTGCAGTTTAAGGAAGGTAAAGTGACCCAGGCACTTTTAACTGCTGATCAAGGACGTGCGCAAGCTTTAAATGATCTTCTGGAGTTAAAGTATGGCCTTAAAGGGCTACGCCCAGAAATAGGAACACTTTCTTCAAGACCAAGTGAATTTCCTAGTACCTTACCATCAAATACAGTTTTCATAGGTATCAACGAGGGAGGAATAGTTCTGTGGGTGAACAAGAAAGGAAAGGAAATCAAAACTAGAAGAACTCTGATTGATATCTCCGTCACAACCTATTTTCAGTCTCTTTTGGAAACTACACATATAGAAATAGGTGTGAGAGGGGATGTTAATTGTGAAGATCGCTCGTTAGGAAACCCAAACGATAAAGAGTTAGCAGGAGAAAGATCCTTTAAGTTAAAGTCTCATCCTTCATGTTTTGAGACAAAGTCATTACAAACATTTTACAATGTTGTTATAGACCCTATAAGAGACTTACTCCAGGGCGACGAGGTTGTGGTCGTTCCACAAGGACCTCTGTATTTGGCGCCTTATGCTGCTTTCATGGACTTGAAATCAAAGTACCTCTGTGAAACTTTCAGAATTCGTCTGCTTCCCTCACTTTCTAGTCTTCGATTAATCCAAAATAGTCCAGCAGATTGGCACAGCAAGACTGGCGCTCTTCTCGTCGGCGATCCGTGGGTACAGGAGGTAGTTTATGAAGGACGGACGCTGGAGCAGTTAGAGTGGGCCGAAAAAGAAGTGCAGATGATTGGGGAAATACTTAAAACTGTACCTCTCCTTGGAAAGCAGGCAACAAAAGATGAAGTTTTGAGGCGTATCTCCTCGGTTGCTTTGGTGCACATTGCTGCTCACGGTAAAATGGAAACAGGAGAAATTGCCTTGGCCCCTAACACAACACGTTCATCATCCGTGAATCCAGGTAGGGAGGACTATCTCTTAACTATGAAAGATGTTTTAAAGGCGCAGATTAGGGCAAGACTTGTTGTACTTAGTTGTTGTCATAGTGCTCGGGGAGAAGTCAAATCTGAGGGTGTGGTCGGCATCGCACGGGCATTTTTGGGTGCTGGTGCTCGATCTGTTCTGGTGTCCCTATGGGCGATCGACGACGAAGCTACTATGGAGTTCATGAAAGTTTTCTACCAACACCTAGTTCATGGACGAAGTGCTAGTGAGGCCCTGAATGTAGCCATGAAATCCATGAGAGAATCTGACCGCTTTAGCGCAGTAAAGTACTGGGCGCCGTTTGTTCTCATTGGTGATGACGTAACGCTTGAGTTTGAAGACATCGATTAAATAGCAGGGTATGTTGGGATGTATTTAAACCTGGGATCATATCAAGTGCTTAAACAGATATTTTATAGGGCAACGAATCTTAACCGGTGCCACTTAACATCAATCTGCCAATCACAGGTTATGTTCAGTTGAAAAGGACTCTGACTTTGGTATTTCTTTAGGCAGTTAAACACCTAGCCTGCGTAGCTGGCGGTTTGTGTGATTAAAGTTTTGGCGGAGGAGCCGCCGCCAAATCTCACTCGACTGGTTCCACGGCTCCGCCGCCAAATCTCACTCGACTAGTACACAATACCACCAGCTACGCAGGCTATTAAACACGAGAACATTTCTGCACATTACAAAGTGTCGGTGGCCCTGTTTGAGTTCGTTCCATTGTAACATTACAATAGAACCTGCCGTAAGGGACCACCTAAAATGCCAATATTTGCCGGTCACTTACGAACGGTGATCGCTTAGGAGTGGTTCGAGGTATGGTGCTGTGGGTGGAAAATGATTTTGGTATTTTTGATGAGTGATAGGTTATGAGGTGCAAGAGAGGTGATTCTCACCGACTGAAAGAGACATGTTGGAACCTACCGTAAATCCTCTATTAAGCCCCTC